CACTATAATTTGCAGTGTTTACAGGGATTATGAAAGAGATTACAAATAGAGTGGGAGAGCTAAAATACACAGTGGTGTATAAGTATATATATTTAATGCTTTTTCTATATATACTTGGATGATATTTTGATTGTTATGAATTTTCTCTGGCTTAGGCTATTTATAGCCAAAAGGAATATCATATGAAAGGAAAGGAAAAATGTGCCGTCCAAATTTGTGCGTCCAATTGTAGGCGCCTAACAATTGTCTAATTCTTATATCTGCGCCTTCACATTTGACCAAAATTTACCGTCCAATTATTCAAATTCACATATATATTACTATTCATAGTCAAACTATGAATAGTAAATGATAAGTTACTGAAATAACCCCTAAACTATTTGCCACTTGCTAATTTTGGAGGCAACTTTTCCACATAGAAGTTGAAGTCTACCACAAATGGTTAGGACACAAGCTACAAAAATTTGCTCCTAAAGTGAATTCAGCAGGACAGATTCTTCAGTGCTTGAGGGATACCGCTAAAAACATGGTTGTTGAGGTGGAAAGTACTGGTATTGGAGACCCTATTGAATACTCCAAATCCAAATGCCAAGAGGAATTACTTGTGAAGTTATCAGTAATGATAGCTGATATATTGGCTGCATGTCTCACCAACTTACCCCAAGTCATTGCAATTAAATGCCACACAAGTTCCATAGAGAAAAGGGAGGCGAGTGTGCAAGCTGCAGCCCAACTTCTCAGTGAGACTATGGATATAATCAACACTCTCCAAGATCGTGAACTTCCATGCTTGGATACAGATGAGTTGGCATATATTGACAAGTGGCGTACGTACTTAAAGGATCCATTTCCTTAAAAACCAAACTTTGTTCTTCAAGTAACCAAGTTAGTGGATAAAGATTTGTCATCATTTCTTTTCTTTTGGCAGAAGATCATGTCACTATTATTGTCATTTCCTTTGATGCTTGTTGTAAGACTTGATCAATACAACCAATAATCTAGTAGCTAATGTGATTTTCTCCGGCAACACCCTTCACCGACTCTGCATTATTTGCATTCAGAAAGCATGTTGAGTTTATGTTTCTAGTTAATTTCCAAACTTCACAAGTACTTCTGATGAAAGTAATGGAATTGATTTTAAACGTATCTTAGTATAATAGGATTATATTGTGTATATCCTGTAGTATTGGAAGTTTGTTCTAATTCGTATTATAAATATTGGACAAAACTTCATAAATGGTCCATGTGGTATTCTAAAATCTGAAGTTAGTCCCTATGTTTTAAAAACCTCACAAATGGTCCTGTGGTTTCAAAACTTTTAACAAACGGTCCTTTTTGCTAACTCCATTTGCTTTTGTCCTTTAACTAAAGGCCATTTCCGTCATTTTACTATAACAGCGACCATTTATGAATTTTTGTCTTATTTAGAAAAAATAAAATATAATTTAAAATAGAAAGGGTCTCTCTCTCTCTCTCTCTCTCTCTCTCTCGTATAGATGGATGAATGAAAGGCCTGTTACATTTCAATTTCTCAAATAGAAAAACATGCTAATATATGAAATCATCGGCACAGAAGAACAATGTTTGAATGAAAAAGTCAAAATTGGACTTCGATTTCAACAGAGAGGAGAAAGAGCAACCACCCTTATATCGAGAACACAGTATCATGAGAGACTTGGATCTGCAAGTTTGGAATCAAAACCAGAGAAAGGGGATTGGACACGCCTTAGCTATAACACCATTTGTGTTGCCTCGCCGAGTAACGGGCTGAGTTTCACCCATCGCCGGAAACCAATGTTTTAAAAACTGGTTTTTTAGTTGAACCGGTATGGTGACTGGTTTCCGGTTCAACCGGTTTAACCGTCGGGTCAACCGGTTTATGTAATTTTCATAAGTTCAAACATTAAAAATAAACATAAAACAACTTGTACATCAGTTCAAATAGATTAAAAAACACATAACCATTCAACATGTTTTTCTATTTGAGAAATTGAAATCTAACAGGCCTTTCATTCATCCATCTATACGAGAGAGAGAGAGAGAGAGAGAGAGACCATTTCTATATTAAATAATTATATTTTATTTTTTCTAAGTAAGACAAAACTTCATAAATGGTCCCTATGATAGTGAAATGATAGAAATACCCTTTAGTTAACGGACAAAAGCTAACAGAGTTAGGAAAAATGATCGCTTGTTAAAAGTTTTAAAACTACAGGGATCATCAGTGGGGTTTTTTAAACTTAGGGACTAAGGGGGTGTTTGTTATTGCTTTTTAGCCTAAAATGTTCTTTTCAACAAAAAGACTTTTTAACTTGTAGCTTTTTCCAAAAGTAGGTTTTAAAATGTGTTTGGATTAACTTTTGACAGAGGAAATGCCAAAAAGCCAAAAGTAACCAAAAGTCACAAATTAATGACTTTTAAAACCACTTCTTTTTCATCTTGCCAAAAAGTCATTTTAAAAGGAATTTTAGATTTGCCAAACACCTTTTCAAACTTTTAGCTTTTTGAAAAAGGCAAAAGTCCAAAAAGTCACTTTGAAAAGGAATCCCAAACACCCTCTAAACTTCAAATTTCGGAATTCCAGTGGCACCATTCATGAAGTTTTGTCTAAATATTATTCAAGAGACACAATCACAATAAGGTGAGTTTTCTCCAAACCTAATATGATATCATCCAAATTCCTGGCCGTCCTCTTCCTTCTTCATTCCTAATCATGGCTGCCAATTCTAATGCCACCAATTCTCCTCTTTCTCTTTCAACTGTGTTGCAATTGCTCACAATCAAACTTTCATCTACTAATTATCTTCTATGTCACAAACTGTCACACCCCCAAACCGGAACGACGGAAACGTTTGGGGGCGGAGGACGTCATGTATAGTATCACAATAATTGAATAATAGTAATCAAAGCAACAACAACCATTGTATTAATAGTATAATGTTTACATTGTTTTCAAATCATAAACAACTGGCTCCAAAAGTAAATAACAAGTAAAGGCTCGAAGCTACTATGCTCCATCTTCTTGAATTCGGCGCGTGTACCTGTCTACTAATGTCCTGAGAATACAAGTATGTTTTGAAAGAGTATCAGCATTAAGCTGGTGAGTTCATAAGCGTTTTGTTTTAGAAAACTGTTCTGTGTTCTGTCGAAAAGTGCGTTGTGTTTCTCCAGAAAACCTTATATTTTCTTATGTAACGAATGTTAAGTAAAAACAAATGATTCTTACTAGTTCCTCCTCCGAGTACTTAGTGTATACACATCATATACAATCCAGATCGAACAAACAATCGATTGGGTGGTTCTGCCTCAAGCCCACAACCAAACAAGGAATAAGAAATGAGGCGGAGGCCACACATCCCACTGGTTGC